GCACCGGGTCTAGAAAATACAACTACACACTACTAAACCTAACTAAATTACTCTAACCAGAACACTACAACTAATACAACTAATACAACCAAACCCTAATATTGGTAAGGCAACGATCGAGGTGTGGAAAGACTTGGTCCGAGTAACTAGGGTGAATTGGGTTCTTAGCGATAGTGTCAGATTAGAGCTCTGAATTACGTCACGAACCTCTTTATACAGAGTCATGGGATTTGTTCACAAATTCCAATCGTTATTACAGATTTTACTTATCGGGGGGGGGGGGGGAATTAGTAGAGCCAAACACTTTTCAATGTTGAACTCCAATCGAGTTAATCTTTATTCAAAGTGAAATGCATTCGCTTATATACTTATTTTTACATATATCGAGATATCTAATATAACGCTGATAACTAATATATCGCTGATATCTAATATCTTTGTTATCTTCGCGATTTCTATTATCTCTATTATCTTGGTTATCCTCGCTATTCGAGAGATAACCGTTATATCACTGATAACTGAGATATCGAGAATCTCTAGAATCACGGAGATCACAAGGATTTTTGTGATTCCAAGGATTTCTGGGACTTGTGTTACTAAGAACTGCGGCGATCAACAAACTCGATTTCCCTTTCACAACGTACATACATAACGATAACTTTTACATTAATTAATGCAGTGGTACATGATTATTGATCTGCATTACAAAAATTTTGCCAGCATTGTTAGACTTTGTGTGCCAGCTCTATAAAAGTTCTGGACAACGTTATTTACATAACAAGAATTACATATCAGAAATCTACACGCAACTTTCCACCCTATATACTGATATATCCCCATATCCCTATATATAAAAAACATATGCATTATACGTATATGATACTTTTCTACGATAATTTTAACATTATAAATGTCGGCACGTTCAATATTCGTTTAAATACTTGCCCAACATGTTTAGTGCTGTAGTGTGTTAATCTGTGCGAAAACACATATATTTCAAATTACAATGTAATCTATATGTATATAACTTATAGATCATGCCGAAATCAATAACTTAACCGGATCGGCCAAAAAACCATTTCATAAACTGATAAAAATGATTTCGGCCAAATTCGGTAAGTTTTTGAATTTGGTATTATCGGCATTGGATTTTCGGCATTACAGTAATTCCGATAACACAAAATTCAAAAACATATCGAGTTCAGCCGAATGATCGGTCAATTTTTATCGTTGTCTCAAAATTTATGAGAACAGCTGTAAATTTATATCCGGATTTAAATTTATATCCGGATTTGTATTTATATCTGGATTTCGGATTTAATTTTATAATTATATCTGGATTGATATTATCTAAAAATTGGATCTGGATTTATTTAAAATTCGGGTTAATCTGGATTTATTTATCAATCCGGATTGAGATGCTAACTCTAGTAGGTCTTATAAGTCCATCACTAAGACACTAATTTTCAAATTCTAAAATTGATAACGGATTAGTACATAGACTAGTACAGCTACACGTCACTCTTGTACCTGGTAAGTTACCGATAGATTTACTCAACATTATTTTATAATGCCTTATGATTTAACTGGTTCGAATGTTTAAAGAACTTGAAATCATCTGAACAAGTAAATACGCTTTCAAGAAAGTCTTAGAAATTAAAAGACGTTGACTACATGAAAATTCATAAGAACATGAGTCTATTAGTTTAAATTAGTAACAAAAAAAATTTGACCTCCAGATCGAACTTCGAAATGCGTGGCCTAATATAAACATTATAAGACTACGTACTTAGAAATGTGATACCTTCAAAGCATCTTCGCTGGCAACAATTGAAAAATTTATAAACATAATAATCTTGATTTTTTGCTTACACCACAGGTTGCCTGTGGGTTGACTTACGGATTGCCAAAATCTAACTGGGCTCAACCGCGGATAATCCGGATGGCGCCCACCCGGGTCCAATCACTACTCATAACTCAACTGAGTCATAAGATATATAAGATAAAATTTAAATTTTATAAAGCACACAGTATATCATTGACTAGCTGAATCGACAGATTTTAACAGATTTTTTATTGTTCAATACTTCAAAAGCAATCTTTTTGTTAAATGGTTTTGCTCTCTGTATCTCCCCAATAAGTTATTAATTATAAAATTGTATAAATTCATAATCTTAATCGTGTCTTGATATAATCGTAAATGTTAAATTGATTCGAATTACTCTTGCACTATTTAATTAGAGTAATTTCTGATAGTATTAATTCATTTCAAGGTTCATTGTCAACTGTTGTATTCGATATTTATGAATTCTTAATATTTTCAAATTTTCTCAGTCGATCGATGCACTGCCCGCAGCACAATCTATAGAATACAATACATACATGGTAAAGTATCACAGCATCATACATCCACTTATAGAAATATTAGCCCGTCCAAAATTAAATAGTGTTAATGAATTGTAAAGAAAAGCTACCATAGAATTAGAAAATTTGAAAATATTAAGAATTCATAAATATCGAATACAACAGTTGACAATGAACCTTGAAATGAATTAATACTATCAGAAATTACTCTAATTAAATAGTGCAAGAGTAATTCGAATCAATTTAACATTTACGATTATATCAAGACACGATTAAGATTATGAATTTATACAATTTTATAATTAATAACTTATTGGGGAGATACAGAGAGCAAAACCATTTAACAAAAAGATTGCTTTTGAAGTATTGAACAATAAAAAATCTGTTAAAATCTGTCGATTCAGCTAGTCAATGATATACTGTGTGCTTTATAAAATTTAAATTTTATCTTATATATCTTATGACTCAGTTGAGTTATGAGTAGTGATTGGACCCGGGTGGGCGCCATCCGGATTATCCGCGGTTGAGCCCAGTTAGATTTTGGCAATCCGTAAGTCAACCCACAGGCAACCTGTGGTGTAAGCAAAAAATCAAGATTATTATGTTTATAAATTTTTCAATTGTTGCCAGCGAAGATGCTTTGAAGGTATCACATTTCTAAGTACGTAGTCTTATAATGTTTATATTAGGCCACGCATTTCGAAGTTCGATCTGGAGGTCAAATTTTTTTTGTTACTAATTTAAACTAATAGACTCATGTTCTTATGAATTTTCATGTAGTCAACGTCTTTTAATTTCTAAGACTTTCTTGAAAGCGTATTTACTTGTTCAGATGATTTCAAGTTCTTTAAACATTCGAACCAGTTAAATCATAAGGCATTATAAAATAATGTTGAGTAAATCTATCGGTAACTTACCAGGTACAAGAGTGACGTGTAGCTGTACTAGTCTATGTACTAATCCGTTATCAATTTTAGAATTTGAAAATTAGTGTCTTAGTGATGGACTTATAAGACCTACTAGAGTTAGCATCTCAATCCGGATTGATAAATAAATCCAGATTAACCCGAATTTTAAATAAATCCAGATCCAATTTTTAGATAATATCAATCCAGATATAATTATAAAATTAAATCCGAAATCCAGATATAAATACAAATCCGGATATAAATTTAAATCCGGATATAAATTTACAGCTGTTCTCATAAATTTTGAGACAACGATAAAAATTGACCGATCATTCGGCTGAACTCGATATGTTTTTGAATTTTGTGTTATCGGAATTACTGTAATGCCGAAAATCCAATGCCGATAATACCAAATTCAAAAACTTACCGAATTTGGCCGAAATCATTTTTATCAGTTTATGAAATGGTTTTTTGGCCGATCCGGTTAAGTTATTGATTTCGGCATGATCTATAAGTTATATACATATAGATTACATTGTAATTTGAAATATATGTGTTTTCGCACAGATTAACACACTACAGCACTAAACATGTTGGGCAAGTATTTAAACGAATATTGAACGTGCCGACATTTATAATGTTAAAATTATCGTAGAAAAGTATCATATACGTATAATGCATATGTTTTTTATATATAGGGATATGGGGATATATCAGTATATAGGGTGGAAAGTTGCGTGTAGATTTCTGATATGTAATTCTTGTTATGTAAATAACGTTGTCCAGAACTTTTATAGAGCTGGCACACAAAGTCTAACAATGCTGGCAAAATTTTTGTAATGCAGATCAATAATCATGTACCACTGCATTAATTAATGTAAAAGTTATCGTTATGTATGTACGTTGTGAAAGGGAAATCGAGTTTGTTGATCGCCGCAGTTCTTAGTAACACAAGTCCCAGAAATCCTTGGAATCACAAAAATCCTTGTGATCTCCGTGATTCTAGAGATTCTCGATATCTCAGTTATCAGTGATATAACGGTTATCTCTCGAATAGCGAGGATAACCAAGATAATAGAGATAATAGAAATCGCGAAGATAACAAAGATATTAGATATCAGCGATATATTAGTTATCAGCGTTATATTAGATATCTCGATATATGTAAAAATAAGTATATAAGCGAATGCATTTCACTTTGAATAAAGATTAACTCGATTGGAGTTCAACATTGAAAAGTGTTTGGCTCTACTAATTCCCCCCCCCCCCCCGATAAGTAAAATCTGTAATAACGATTGGAATTTGTGAACAAATCCCATGACTCTGTATAAAGAGGTTCGTGACGTAATTCAGAGCTCTAATCTGACACTATCGCTAAGAACCCAATTCACCCTAGTTACTCGGACCAAGTCTTTCCACACCTCGATCGTTGCCTTACCAATATTAGGGTTTGGTTGTATTAGTTGTATTAGTTGTAGTGTTCTGGTTAGAGTAATTTAGTTAGGTTTAGTAGTGTGTAGTTGTATTTTCTAGACCCGGTGCATATTTTGCCCTTTTACATTTGGTGGTGACTGTGAGATTGAACTTCCCTAATCCCAAAATCGTAATATATATTACAAAACAAAAACAACCAAATTGCTTATTTAATCCGTAAAACTAATCTTAAGTTAGTTGAAACGAATAACCTTCATAGACATGAAAGACTTATACTATAACACCTGGGAAAATATGTATAGTCGTAAGGTGAAGCCTGTCAATATAGTGCCCAAAGTTGAAAAGAAGGTTGAGGAAGTTGAAGTGTTTGTGGTTACCCTGTTGGAAGATTTAGACAAAAAGGAGCACGATAATCCTGATAACAAAAACCCGCCGCATAAAGAAAAATTCCGACTAGATATTGAACCTAAAAAGGATAATGGAAAAACAATCATCCATCGTCAAAAATCAGTCGAAATTGGACGTGGTGAGGTATGGACCATGTGGATGAACCAAAAAGTCTCAACGATCTGGAGGAATTCACTGGCCCCCAAGAGTCTGCTGTTGTAGACTGTGCTGATAGAAGAACCGACTCTAAACCCTGCTCACCAAATGGGATTGGTAGTGAAAAAGAGGAGCCCAAAGCATTTGAATGGTACCTGAACGAAGCTGGAAATAACAATTCGGGAGTACACGGTTTCAGATCTTATTGTCAATGGAATTGGCATTAATGAGGTTAAAACACCTTCGGTTGACCATTACTATGAAAATGGAAATAGAGTAAAAAGGGACAAAAATAGAACATCCATTGATTATCAAAGGTCAGCAGGGATGAATCTTGCTGAACAAACGTGTAATGCTGATGAAACGGGAAATTCAACTGAACCCTACAAGATAGGCCACGGAATTGTTGGTAACTGCGATCGAAACGAAATAGAGGTTGAAATGGATCGGCACCAGACCCTCATTTGTTACAAGAAGTTTAATGATAATGAATGCGAAGTGTTTGAACAGTATTTGAAACCTACTAAAGACGGCGATTCGAAAGGACGAAGCAACCCTGGATGTTGCTACCAGCAGGGCAATAAGAATGAAAATACGACTTTTGTATAGAATAGGAAACCCCCGAAGAAGCCCAAAAGGCTGATACTGTTAAAGTAATGGAATACGCCAAATTAAGCAAGCAATGGCGTCAAAAATTAAAATATAATGGCACTATAAAACAATATGGAGATTTGTTCCATATTTTATACTCACCCGACGATTGGAAATCACCTCGCCGCCCAAGTAATAAATTTTCGTAATGCCATTTACCTCCTCCATTTCCATGGGTATAATTTAGTAGCAAATAGTCCTAACGAACAATCCCTATTACGAGACGGGATTATCGATGGGGCGCGACAAGGAATTATTAGGCGGGAACTTTTGAGAGAATTTGGAGTAAACCCTGGAACTGAAGAAAAAAATTGTTAGTAACAAATACGCGTATCAATTCGTAAGAAACTTGACATAATGAATATATTAGGAAAAAGATAAAATAAGTTATAAAAAAAAAAAAAAAAATTCTAGAATAAAGGACGTAACAAGTGATAATGGTTGGTTACGACTTTTATATGCGAGGTGGGGCACATAAAATGAAAAAATCCATCCCGACGTAGTAGAATTGGACTGTGTACGAAAAAGAAGTTAATTCTGAAAATGGTACGTGGGGAAGTTTTAAGAAGAGTTAACCCAGTGATTATCTCGGATTATCACTCTCGATATAATCACATAGGAGTTTTGATTGGCCAAAAAATGTAAACAAATGTCAGATGATCCACGTTTGTTTACTTATTTGATCATGTGATGCAGGTACATATATCTTTGGGGAATTATAATTTGCACAGCAAAATGGCTGGCATTAGGCTAATCGACACAGCATTGCCGGCATTAGAGTTAGTTTAGCATTAGGGTATGGGCAGAATTAGTCACGTGCTTATGTGTCGGTATAATCGGGTTATATATATAAACCATTTTTTTAACAAATATCTGATGTTACACAGTGTATGTAATTGATATCACCTGATATTTTGTTTATATTTTTGACCAATAAAAATTTTCATGTGATTATATCGAGGGTGATAATTCGTGATAATCACTGGGTTAACTCTTCTTAAAGTGTCCCTAATTATTCTGTTTTAATCTAAGTGGATTCCGAACCCTATTATCGTTCCATTCCCACTTACGATATAACGTTCAAAGAACCACAATCGTCATAACGTAAGTTATCTTGGCCCTTAATTTTACTATTTTTCAAAATTTGGACCTTTATATGTAATTATTTTTACTTTGGGCCCTTACTTGTAATTATGTCGTCTATCTAATTCATTGAGTCGGAAATTTAAAATAGAAGTAGGATCTTTTAAACTCCCAAAGTAAGTTAATTATGAAATTCCCTATTGTAACCTTTTAATAATATATAAAAGCCTTGTGATTAATTTTCTTCTTATTACCTATATTAATATCGAGAAAACAAAAAATCGTAAATATCACAAGATTTCACTATGCTAACTACTGTTTGATTTCTAAGTAAAAATTTTCAGCATTAATTTTACTTATAGGGAGTTTCATAATTAATATATTTTGAAAATAAATGTGAGTTTAAAATATCCTACTACTATTTTTAAAATTAATGTAATTATACGCTAAAAGTAGAATTTATATAAAATGTCGACGATGTACAGTACGTACCTGATACGTAATCTTAATAATACTGTAATATTAATATCGATATAGTTTTCGTATAACATATAATCTATCGAACTACGTCAAAGAAGTCAGAAGTGATGACATTTTTTTGCCATGACTAACCCTCTTTTTAATCTGAGATCGGGAACCGTCTAATGCAGGTTGATTAATAATAAATCTGTAAAGTAAAAGTCACATGAGGCATATAAATTACTATCTGGCTTTAAACGATCCCTGAAATCGGATGCCAAGTCATTAATTATGAAACCCCTTATATATGTCATTAAATATCATTTAGGCCGCTTGAAGTTGAAACTTCGTTTAACGTTATCCCCCCC